GGATAGTCTTGGCTGTTACTCAATCCCACTTTTGGGATGCGACACCCATTCGAATTTTGCTCAAAATCTTCGTGGTGTATTGGATGCGATGTGGCCTATAAGATGACTTGCAGAGGCGATGTACAAGCCAGTGTTCTCATCCTCCCAGACGAATCTGGTACCAGTGTACCGTCCCCGAAGGGTAGAAAGCCCGGTTGGCTTGATCTTGGTTGGGAGCCGATCCCTGAATTGACTCCCGGACTGCGCGCGTGGTAGGGTGCCCACTACACACCTCCGGCGCTTTACACAACCCCTTCGCCGACACCCCACCATATCCTTTTGGAAAACCTTTACAGTTCTGAGTGGAAGTCGAATACGAGCCGCATCATGGAAAACGTCCCACCAACGGTGGGAGTTTTGTCCTTTTTTGGTGCAGCAGAACTTTGCGCCTTTCTGCCAGCAACTATGGTATTGAATGTCCTTCCATTATAGTATTGAGATGTTTTTCTGCATACTGGACGACGGGGTCGTTGGCGATAAGCTAATCTCATTGAGCTCATAGAATGAGAGGCCAGGCATATCCGTTTTCTTTCCCCTTTCCTTCCACTTCCTTTATTACGCTCTTCAGCATTTTGTTCTTCGCAGAGTCCTACAGACCTCAAAATTGAATCCAATGTTAGCGTGGCAGCGGGGCGCCTATATTCCTCACCCTTCTGCCACGACAACGATCTCATTCACATTATTTCATTTTGTGGGATCTTTTTTTCAAGCGCATTCAATCTGTGAAGACAAAATATTCATGTACCATCACAAAACGCGGAGGTGGTGTAGAGGCAAGTGGCACGTTTGACGCGCACGGTCCGGTGGTCAAATCTTGGACAGGCTCCTGCCCAGGCCAACCAAGCCTTCTACCGGGACGGTGAATTGGAACCGGACTTGTTTGGGAAGATAAGAACACTGACTTATACATTGGCTAGCCCGTGCGAGTCTACGTATGGGCCACTACGACACTGAATAGAGAAATGCGCGCGTATCTCAAAAAGGCGTTCGATCAACGTGGATGCTTTACCCTGTACCCTTAACAAAATCCAAAAAAAAATCCAAAAATAACTATTAAAAAGTTTACATTTAATTCAAGTTTCGCGCAACATGTTCGCATTTACCAAATGACAAGCACGGGTTTTCGATCTAGGGCAGGTAGTCCGCTAATTTCGAACATTCATGGCGTACAAAAAAAATTACGTGGGGAGTATACAAAGTGCTCGTCCCTCAAATGAGTGGCAATTGGTTGATGACGACTTGTTAGTTGTCATTTCTGTGCATCGCCCACGATGAGGAATCCAAAGCCGTTGGCGAGTGATTCATTGCTGATTTAGTCTCAATAATGCAGTCTGCGTTTTCGAAACAATCTTTCCGTGCATGTCTCATAGTTCGTATTCTGGGAATAGCGCATTGTGACGTCGGACTTCAGGAATTGAATGCTGTACAATTGAGTGCAGCACAAAGAGAGACAAGTTGTCATGTTTAGTCGCCCTAAAATATTGTTTTCTGTGAACTTCTGTAGTAGCAAGTGAAAGGCTTGTTGTATAAATGCCAAGTTGAATTGACCAAGCGGTTACTGAGAGCAGGATAATCTAAGAGTGCAGTCGGCGCGAAAGGAACGAGGAGTACACTCTGAGGTATTCAGCGCAAGTACTGCATATCTGCGAGAAACCCTTTTTCCTTAAAGAGTAGTCCCCGTGCTTCTTCCCCAAGTAAAAATGCCCATCTCTTTTCCCTTTTAATGCCCTCTTTGCTGACTTCCGACGTCCACTTCTTCACAAAGGAATAAAACTTTTGCCAGCTGGGGTGGTTGGAATCAGGTAAAGGTAAAGCCTACCTGAAAGAAGTATTCGTTTTATAGAGAGTACGTATCTGGTTTGTAACATGCTATTCTTGAATGTAGTTATGCATCTAGGCTTTAGACTGCTTCATACTTGGTGAATTCGCCAACCGGTTGTAAAGTTCAATCTCCAAAGCGTTTTTCCTACTTTTCCTGTGCTGGAGGCGAATTTGAACATAGCTTTAAGCGATTTATCCCATTCCTGATGTGTTACATAAAGGGTTAGATTGCGTGACTGGTTAGGCTTGGGATTAACTAACTGTACCTCTGAACATTCCTCTGTTATTTTCTCTACGCGGCTATGGAGTTCAGCTTCTGATCAGATCTCTAGCGATAATTATACATTATGCCATGTATAGCCATTGCGTAAATTTATCCTGCCACGTGACCGTTCTCAAAGCCTCAAACAACCTCTTCTAGACGTCTTAGCGACAATAAGTGATCGACGGCTACACCAGATCTTGGCTAGGTGCAGTCGTAATTACTGAAAGCGTTTGGGGCATATCGCCTGGGCATGGGCTTTCTGGCCGCGTGCCAGCAGCCGCTTTCCACTACTCACTGGGCCGCCGGAAGCTGCAACTGCTATAGATAAATATTGCCGACTCAACCGAACCCAGGCCTCGAACTGACTTCATTGAAGCCTAAAAAACACGGTTGGTTGGTAGCGAATTTTCGACATCGTAACACTTTCCGTCAAAGGACGCGGTGTACATTAATGCCTTCGTTCATTACATAAGGACCGAGTCATATTTAACCTGAAAAATTTTTCGATCCTCGTTCCGACGGCACAATTTCGCAAAATTTAATAGTGTGCTAAGGTTGGTGGTGGTTTGTGAAGTAGTCGTATTGATAGGAAACATTATTTCATCTCATGGAACCGAAGGCATAAATGGAACATCCTATGCTACATGCTGCTATACGATCTGGAAGGAGAAATGCATATCGTGTGTGAAACCGCGGGAGTATACCCGGAGGATCTGTTCATAGAAAACGTGTTAACTAGCAGAATATTAAGGTCAGCGCGCGTTGCCCTGCTGTTGAGGAGATTTTTCGCAAGACCCGAGCTGCTCAAAATTTCTCCCTTTGGTGCAACCCCCTCTCCCATCCCTCATCCCACCTCTACCCATGTTCCTAAGTTTTCCCAACTTTTTCCCATTTTTCTTCCAAAAATTCTCTATTCTTTTCTCAATGGGGGGGGGGGGGAAGGAGGAGTATACAACGCACTTGAAATAGTCACTAACCAAAATTATTTATATGGCCCTTTGCTGGGGATCTCCAGCTTACGTTCCCTAAGTACGATATGAATGAAGAGCTGTTCCTATGAACTTCACATAATTCTTTCAGCAGGCAACCCGAACAACTCGTTTGGAATATTCCGCATTGGATCTCCGTATTGAATCGTTGAACTGTGTAGCAACGAATTACCTTTCAAGGTTGGTCTTTGTTGAAAATGTCGTTTGTTTTGTTTTTGTTGTGCTTAGCTAACGAGGACATTGATTGTAGGCAGTGTGCAAAAATTCTGGTGGCAAAGCCGCTGTGATCGGACGGGACCTCTCGCACCCAAGCGAGAATCATACCACTAGACCACTTGGCCGTGGTCTGGGCGCCTATACGTCACATTGAAACGTGTCCGCCGCACCCCGCAAACTTGCTGATCCTATCAAGCGCAACCATGTCAGTTCGCACTCTCACATCCCACGAAAGGTGTTCCGAAGAAGCCAGCACTGTAAAGTTAGAGTTCAGAATTGAGTAGTAGGAATCGAATATCTACTGCTTTCTTGTCATAATTCATCTCTTGTCCCTGTTTCATATGTTTTGCTTCACTTCTTTTCGGTTTTATTGTGAGAATTTTCGAGTAATTGTTCAGAATGCAAAACTCATTGGATATGATTACGCCGGGCATCACTTAGAGACAGACCTGCACGACTCGAAAGTCAGTGAGTTCCATCCTGCCAACCTGTTTCGACCATTTGTTCACTCGTTATGACCTGCCTTGTTAATGGCGGGCATAGCTTTTTTTGCGAAGATAAGTTTATTATGCCTCTGGAGATGCGCAATAAATTTGAAATACCAGTTAGTATGCTAACTAGCTTCTAGTTACTACCTTGTGCCTTGTTGTAAGCTCGAACATGCAAAGGAAAGTGCTTAGCAAGTGAAGAGGATAATTGATTGTAAGAAAAAGTGCGATAAGCGTTTGCGGTCAGACCACTGTAACCTGCGCACATAGCTTAGCTGATCCATACACGATAAGTGCATACCCCTATCTCGGACACTATACCTGAACAGTCCCTTTTCGCTCCGGATTTAATATTAGTAGCTCTTTTCACCCACTCCAGTGTTCTGGCGGCCGCTACTTCTTCATTCTCCTTTCGCAGCACGACCATGGCAAAACTCACACAGCTTCCTCATTAGCCAGAAATGTTGGTCTTAAAACAAGTGAGATGAGTTTGTCTGATTCAACTTGGCATCTGGCATTCTCCGAAATTAGGAAGCGCCGCCGGTACAAAGCCCCGATCGGCTCCCGCCCAGTCCACCTTCTGCCCTAAGAGGACGGTAAGTTGGACCAGATTTGCCTGAGAGGATGAAAACACTAACTTGTACATCGGCTGTTCCCGCAAGTCATTGTGTAGGGCATTGCCAAAAGCAATTGATCAACGGCGAAGACACTTGATCCTTTGTCCTTATTAGTAGGAGGTGACAGCCTCTGGAAATACTACGGTTTATAGGAAGTATTTTGAGCGTATTAATAGTCTTGCACGTTTGCTTTTGTTATTTTCAGTCTATATATTATATTTATCCCCATCAAACGCGTTAGATACTTGCAGCTGTTCCGAAGGAGATCAATCCTACGCTTGTTTTTACTCTAGTGACGTGTGCGTGGGTCATGGCATACCTCGGCATTCTAGATGAGTTAAATGTGTAAAGTTCGAGCGGAAGTTGATTGTGTTCAGTTGCTCGCAAGTCGCAAGATGTGAAGCTGTTTGTCCAAATTGCTGACGAAACAGATTCTTTCTTTTTTCAGAACCATCATTGTTTTTCACCGTGTGGACAAGCGGGCAGGTTGATGTCATTCGGCCGTGCGTCATCGACACGGAATTATCTGTAAGTGCTGTTTTTATGAGTAGTTTTTGAATAGAACGACCGTCATGTGTCGTACAAAGGTCAGAGAGAAGGGCATGATATTTGAAACAGCGGGGCATGTAATCCATTTCCCGGAAATGTGGAGGGCATGACTGCGTGCTTTATATGAAAATGGAAAGGCGAAGGGTCTGGTTCTTGTAGGTCCCTCCATTCGAGGACAGCTGTCATCACTCAAGTACTAATATGAGGTACGTGGGACTACAGTTGTCAAACAGCGGCAACCAATTAAAAGTACATTCGACAAATGTTCCACTGGGAAGTGCGCCCAGCGACGCCCTTTTTATCCTCGGATAGGGGACTCTATACTTCAGCCAAATCTGCTAATTGGGCTTTATCAAACAGTGAGTCCAGATAGTTTCTGTCATTCTGTGAAGGATTTATGTGCTGATTTAATTTCTATAGTATGAAAAATACGGGCAGTTCGATGACGGGGGGAGGGGCATTTTGCACTTTTGCTACTTCTCATCGACGTATCGACCCATCTAGAAGCCCTTCTTGAGTTGATAGGTTTACTATGATGGCTTGACGAGCTCTAGCTTCACAAGAGTTCACAGGTCCCACTAGAGTGAGACTTGTAAACCGGAACTAGTGAAGCAACGAAAGTGCAAAATGCCCCCCCCGGGGCCGAACTGCACCAAAAATACTAATAGTAGGAAGAGCTGAAGAGCTCGGTTGCGGGGTTTCTGTTTTCCCCTCCTCCTTGGTTTGAGAGCGTAGTGCGTCAGAGCGGCAGTGTTGCCATGTTTTTTACACAAGATGTGGCTCATGGAATCCGCCGGAAGATCCATGATGTTATGAGTCTAATTTGTGGGCGACCACAGGATTGAGTGATGAGCGTATCCAGGTAATTACTTGCAATCGCCTCGGACTGTTAGTAGGATTTTTTTTGGATTTTAGCAGAATTAGCAACTTGGAGCAATTTGGCTTGTGAATCAGTTTGAGTCATTTCCGTGTTACTGCTAGGATCGATGTTCTGAGGATTTATGCTTAAATGCGTGGGCTGGTAGCTTCAAATGCGGTTTTTGTGGAGGAATTTTTAGAAAGAAAAACTCCGGGAAGGGGTAGGAACTTGAGAAAATTGAGGTAAATGGCAGGCGGGATAGATTGAGGTGAATGGTAGGCGGGATAGAGAAGGGCGAGGATCGTACGAGAGGTTTAGGGGGAGGGGTCGTTTTGTACCCTGCTCACCATCAGATTAGTCTATCCTCACTTCGTATTACCTGGAAGTAGTGCCTCATAAGATTTATTTCTTTGTGGTTCATCCCAACGATGCACCTGGAGATGTGGTTGCAATGTAAAGGTTTCAGATCCTCGGCGACTTATTTCAAAACGCCTCGGGCGACTCGTCAAAACGGCAAAAACATGCAGCTAAAGCAGCTGCTGAAGCCGATTGAAAGATCCTTGATGTGCTAGTGATCTCTTGATGCAAGTTACGAAGTTTCTTATCAATTGTTAGTGCCAAAGGCATATCTCATAATTTATTGTAGTGCTTGGAGTTTATGCAGATAAACGTAAAGCTATTTGTGCTTTGTTAGAAATTATTCTTACACAAAGTTGTGGAACTTGAAAATTGACAAAGGAAAAGAAAGAAGAACGTGACCGCAGAAACATCATAGGGTTACAGTAAATGGGTCATGGAAAAAGAAGATAACTAAGAAAATGGGCTGTATAGCGCCTTGTGTGAACGACTATAGTCTTGGTTGAACCTTCGCAGTAGGTTGAACCTCCTTTCTAAAGTTCCTCTTTAAAGGCAGTCGGCACAATAATTGGGTACTCTGCTCAGAATGCTAGCAGGGCGCTAACAAAGGAGGTCTTTCAGGTTGTGGCGCGCTTTTCAGAAACGGTTTGTTGCCTTCGTCTGTAGGCGAGTCCACATATAAGGATCCACAGAGAATGGTTTTTCCGTTTTCGCTAATGCATTTTCTGAGAAGGTCAAAAAAACTGGGTGTAAAAGTTTTACTGAGCCGAAAAGCGATTTTGAACCATACTCCATGACCATTACCATATTTGTAGGCTCTTTTCTATTTTTAATGTCGAGTATGCATAGCAAATGAGACCTTCGTCGACACTGCATCGAAAACAATACAAGTGGAGGTGAAAAAGTACTTTATTAGGCACACAGTGAGGTAGCATTGTAGTTTTCTCAAGTGATTCTTTATACTTATATCTTTAGTACTTTAAGTATTGCTCTTTAAGGAACACCTCATAAACTATGCACTCTCAAAGTTACAGCTACAACAGAGCCCAATAAGACGGTTAAAATCGCCCTTTCTTGTCAAATTGTTTTCACTCAGTTTTTGACCTCCCCAGAAACGCATAGCAAAAATGAAACCCATTTTTGTGATCCTTGTATGGACCCCTACAACAAGCAACAAACCATTTCCAAAAAGCGCGCCACGACCTGAAAGACCTCCCTTGTCAGTGGAGCGAAAAAGCGCAGTGAAACGGTCAAAAACCTGCGAAGAAAAGCCTTCGTTCTTAATGACTCAAAAAGCAATTTCGGACGAGTTTCCCGTAGGCATCTTGCCAATAACCGCTACGGTAGGTACGGCTGCATGTATGTACTCATATATCCATGCAGCACCGCAGCCGCTTCATACCAATCCCTTCGCTTCATATTTTACTTAGCAAATGAAGCAATACGAGCATCAGGTACGGTCGTCCATTTGTGGGCGGGCGGCGTGGTGGGCGTTCGGGTCGGTATGTTGTAGCTTGATAGGACCCTTATAAGGGCACCTTCCTTGGAAAAGGGCTATGCAGCGCCTGCTCAGGGTCGCGGAATTCCGTCCTGCCAGGCGTATTAATCCTACTCCTCTTTAGGGATTTATCGTGCCAGTTGCCATAGGTAAGTATCAGAACGGGTTTAAGTCGTCGATCGAACGTAGCCTTACGTCCATACAAATCTCACGTCGCATTCCTGTGACAAAATTCCAATGCTGAGGTCCTGTGCTCAAGCATGGAACCAATCTAGTCGGATGAGGGCAAACGACCGTATCAAGAATGGAAATTCGCTGAGCTATCTCTTTTCCTGCGGTTCCACCATGAGTGGCAAAGATGATTTCATCAAAAATTTAAAAGTACCTCGCGTCCTGTACATACACATCTATGTCTCAGATATG